GAGGAGGCGCAGTTTGGGGGCAGCTCGATGGCCGCTGTCTTCTGGCAGCTCCTCGCAGAAAATATTAACATCTTCGCAGCAATGCATGCAGCACACTCCTCCTCTCCACCCCAGGGGGGGACCCTGGGGGTGGGGGGGGCCCCCCTAGCTGCAGGGGGGCCCCTGGGGGGCGGCACCCTCGGTGGGGGGCCCCTCGGGGGGGCCCTTGGGGGGCCCCTAGGGGCGGGGACGGGCGCAGAGGGGATGGTGGTACCCTGGGCAAACCTCTTGAGTAAACAAATGGGGGCCCCCAGAGTAAACAAAGGGAATGCTAGTCAACCCCTAAACCCTTCACAGCTCAGTCAGGGGGGCCCCCTGGGTGGTGGGGGCCCGGGGGCCTTTGAGACCCCTTTTGGGTTGGGGTATATAGAGTGTTCAGAGCAGCAGCAGCAGCAGCAACAGCAACAGCAGCAGGCTGCTGCTGCTGCTGCCGCGAAAGGGGCAGGTGGATGCAGCAGTGCAGCAACAGCAGCAGCAGCGGCAGCAAGTGCTGCTGCTGCTGCTGCTGCTGCAGGAGGCCAACAAAGCATAGAGAAAACCGCAGCCATTGCTGTCGCCTGGAGGATGCTGACGGCACTGGAGCTGCGGCGAGAGGCAGCAGCAAACGTTGGGGTTGAGCTCGTCAGCGAGCAGCTGCTGCTGCCGTTCGTGCTGCAGCAACAGCAGCAGCAACAGCAACAACAGCAGCAACAGCAGCAACAGCAGAGCATCCTGCAGCAGCAGCAGCAGCAGCAACAAAGTGTGCTGCAACAGCAGCAACTGCAGCAGGCATGGGGCTCCAGAGTCCTTGGCTGCTTCCCCCAGCAGCAACAGCTGCAGCAGCAGCAGCAGCTGCAGCAGCAGCAGCCCTTCTCCCAGCAAGCAGGTGAGCGTCGTCTGTCTCTCTATCATGCTATGCATACTATGTTTGTGTGTTTGTGCACTGAATTTATTTTATTTTTTGCTCCTTTCTTTTGTCCTTTTCTTCACTTCTCAATCTGAGCCACCGGTGCTGCAGCTGTTGCTGCTGCGGCTGCTGCTGCTGCTGCTGCTAACAGATTGCAGCGGGGTGTCTGTGTGTCTCTTGTCTGTTCAGGTGTATCTCTGCTGCAGTCTTCCGTTGCGGCTGCTACCCAGCAGGTGGGGAGCCCCCTAGGGGCCCCCCTGGGGGCCCCCTTGGGGGCCCCCCTGCAGAGTCTGACGCCTACGGCGCGGGGCCTCATCCTGTTTGCCTCGCGTCTGCTGCGGCCTCTGCTGGGTACTCCTTTGGTTGAGGCTGCTCTGTTGCCTTGTGGGTTGGCGCGTGCTGAGCAGCAGCAGCAGCAGCAGCAGCAGGAGGGGAGGAGCAGCAGGAAGAGAACACGTGAGTTTGAATGGCAGCAAGAAGAGATGAATGCTGCAGCACAGCAGCAGCGGCTGTCTCCTTGTATTGTCGGTAGACTCTCAGCTCAGGCTGTAGCCCGCCTACTATACAAGATCGCCTCTCTATACGAGGTAAACAATCACAGCAGCAGCAGCAGCAGCAGCAGCAGCTGTAGTAGTAGTAGTAGTAGCAGCAGCAGTAGCAGCAGTAGCAGTAGCAGCAGCAGCAGCAGAAGCAGGAGAAGGAGAAGAAACTGCTGCGCCCGCAGATGTCTTATTTGCTTTTATTGGTGCTTTTTTTTCTGCTGCTGCTGCTGCTGCTGTTGGTTGTGTTGCTGTTGTTTGCGGTGTCTATGCAGGTAATTGATGCGGTGTACACGACACTTTTCTTTTCGTTTGGGCAGCGGGCGTCTCTGCAGCAGCAGCAGCAGCAGCAGCAACAGCAGCAGCAGCAGCAGCTGTCTCGAGGCGCTTCTTGGGGGTTTCCCTCTCGCGGCTTGCCGCCGCACTTTGCTGCGCTGCGGCTGTCAGGGGGCCCCTACAGTGATGGGGGCCCCCTGGGGGCCCCTGGGGGCCCCTCTGCTGCAGAAGTGGAGCAGCATGATATGATATGGGATTCAATTCCGCTGGCTGATGCTGTTGAGCTCAGTGTTCTGGT